AATGGAAAAAAATATCAGGAGTGCAAGTAGGCTGACCACTAGATAGTGAAGCACTGGCCAAAGTAACAAGAAAAGTTGCCTCGCAGTGAGAGAACGACTTTATGAACTACTGCAACTGAAACAAATCTAGAAACATTGCTAAGATAGGGATAAATAAGCAGCGCGCTTCAGTTAACCGTTCCAGTCAATCAAGCACTTTGCACAGTTCTGCCGGACGTTTGTTGTTAAGAATGTTCACTGTTTTACAATGTGATATGTGCACACTGCGCCGAAATGCTCTGACCGGCTTTTCCTGGTGTATGACTAAAATTTCCAGAGTTACACATGAACAGGAAAAATTTTCTTCAAGATTTAGCTGCTTTGTTAAGTTCAAAAGCCCGGATAGGTACCTAAATACACATTCACAAAAGCACACGGACAAAATCTTGATATATGTGTTTCTGAGCTGCTCAAATGCAAAAGAAAAAAAAGCTTTAGTACGAGACACAAATATTGTAATGTGGCGAAAAATTCAGTAAGTTAACATAAAGGGTTCTGTCCCCTTTCGCGAGAAAATAAAGTTGAGTTTAATTTGTTCAGGTTGTTTCTCATTGATTCTAACTCAGAAGTATGATAATGAGAAGAAATTACCTCATCTGATCGATATGTATCAGATAAAAATGTCTGGTTCTCGATGTATTCTTGGCGTAATAATTGGCCGAGCTTTACATGCTGTTCCATCCCGCGCTAAAACAGCACTGATAAAATTTTGCACATTTTATGCTGAATTCAAAATAAAATTTTTCGAAGCAAAAGCAAAAGTGCAAAGTGCAAAAGTGCTAGTATCGAAGCAAAAGTGCTTTCTTGCATTTTTTCAATAGATATTTATTACCGCAGCTCATAAAAAGCTTATGATACAGAATGATTCAAATTTAGGCCTCATCTGCATCACTGGGTCAAGGATCAACTTGCTTAATTACTAGTTCTGGGATACAAATTATTACCGTGGAAGTACTAGAGCTTAAGCCCACAAAAAATTAAAGATTGGTGTTAGATCCAACAAAAATTAACCCAGGCTGGAACGCACCAGGCGAGCCGGTGCGATCATGTGTTTTTGCACCAAACTTCGAAGTGCCGTCTCTCCTAG